TTAAAGGTGTATAACATCACTCCTGGGGTTCAGTGGGTAGCTTCCCATGGTAGGGGCCTGTGTGCGGTGTTCTCCTGCTCCTGGGGCCTCTTCTTCAGGGGAAAGGGGGCTTAGAAAGCCAACAAAATGAGCTTTCTAACTCTTCCTGGGTGTTCAGGGACACTTGACTCTCCRGAACAACCTCTGTTCTAATCCTCTAGGCCATACCTCTCCCCTTCAAAAAGGGATATTTTATAGTCTTCTACATAAATCTCTTCAGCTCCACTGATTTGGAATAACATGTTTAGCGGCTTAAGAAGAAAGTGACCTTCTAGCTCACTGGTCCCTTGGCCAGGTGTCCTTCCATGAGCCTGTTTTCTCAGGGCTTCTGTGGGTGGCTGGGCCCCCATGGTGCCAGCACTGTGGACTCTGATCCTATTCCAGGGTCTGGACGAATCCTTCCCCTCCCTGAACCTTGGGGTTTGCCATCTGTCATGCGGAAGCCATCCAAGATATGAGCACATGGACAAGAGGGCCCTGGCACAGACCAGGGGGATGAGTTCTCTTCCTCTGAGGCTCAGTGTCAAGGGAATGTGTGCCTAAAAGGCCCTTTCTGTGCGTCTTCTCAGGAAGACAGGGAGGTGATCCTGGCCTCAGAAGTCTCCAAAGGCAGGTGAGTGGCCAGAGAGGGGGAAGTGAGGCCCATGAACAGGAGAGACCCACGTGGGAACTCTGCACCGTCCTTCTTTGCCTCCTGTGGGCCCTTGAATTGAACCAGGGCCTCAATAAACTACAGTGATTTACTGAGCCCTCAAACATTCAATCTTCCTGAGCTGTGAAACCAGTGTTTTTGTTTTAAAGTAACATCTTTGTGAAGTCATTGACACCAGGATGAAAAGTCTATGTTTTCCAAAATCACTGCTCATACCACCTGACTAGTCGTTAAAACCAAACCTGGGCAGAGCCCATACTCCTCTTGGTTTAGGTGCCTGGTTTGTTTAGCTCTCTGCCAGATCTGTGCCCTGGTGGAACAGGCTGTTTCCAAGGCGATGTGACAGGACCTGCAAAGCCATCCTGTGCTCTGAGCTGCACCTTCAGCCACGCTTCCTGGTGAAGGTGCCTGCCTCAACTTCCCCTCGCTAGCTGGGAGGAGCTGGTGTTGCCCACAGTGCCCCGGCAGCAACGAGCTCACGGGCAGCCTCTGCTGTCTGTCCACAGGCAGGCGGCCTGCTGCTTCAGAACACTGGGATCGCTGGGAGGCCTGGGGACACAGATGGCCTGTTCCACCTCCTCTCGGATTCAGTGGGTCTGAGAAGGGACTCAGAATCTGCACCTCTAAGGAGTTCCCAAGAGAGCTGAGTCCGCAGCTCTGGACCACAATTTGAGAAGCCCCGAGCTAGATGAGCTTTAAGGAATCCTAATGAGAAATGGAGGTGACTGTGAATGAGGTCAGAAGACAGGGTTTGGGGCTCAAAGGCAGGCCAGCCCAGCAGCAAGCTCAGACTTACTCGAATGATTCACTGAAAATGCAAGCCTCCGGCTGACCAGATTCTGATGGACCCCTTTCCTCTTCTTTTCCTCCCTGGGTATTTTCCCCCTGCACCCCTGAGAGCAGGTCTGTTGGCAGCACAGCGAGGCTCTATGGCAGGATAAACAGTGGGCTTTCTCCAGGCCACAGGGATGAGTTCACACAGTCCGGGCCCTCTAACTGCTCTCTGAGGGTTTCCTGACATTTCTTAATCTGCACAGGGCTTAGTGAACTTTTAGTTTTTTTTTTTCTTTTGAGATCACCTACTTTCTAATAGGACCAATTTAAAGAAAAGCATGCTTTGATCATTCAGCTGTCTCTTCTTGATAGAAATGACAAGAACTCATCAGTAGGCCTGCTGAGGGGGGCAGAAAGGGTCGCAAACCAGGGCCTCATGACTCATCCCTGGGCCACGATGTCGAGAGTTGGGTCCACATCTCAGTGGAGGGTAAGCTGGCCTGCGTGTGTCTGCCTGGTGTCACCAGGCAAATAGTTCTGTTAGGGATTCTATCCTTTGAACGTCTGAAAGCAATCTGACCTCCACACTTTCATTTGACTCTAACAAGAATTCTAGGAGAGAAGAGAAATGGGAAGGACTATCCACATTTGGCAACTAGAACAACTGAGAAGTGAGGCTCCGTGTGCACGGCGTGACGTTGAGCAGGGCTACTTCCCCTGTTGGCTTCTTATCTGCAAAGCTCTGGTAGAAGACGATTCTTCCATCTACTCAATACAATCCACAAGATCAACAGGGAGCCATGCCACAGGCCCAGTGGTCAGACTTCATGGGGGGAAACCAAGATGATCAAGAGACAGCCCTCAAGAATCAAGTGACTCTCCATCTGGGAGAGAACAAATACAGTCACAAATACCTGTAAGATGGACTCAAGAACCATTAGGGTGGAAGATAGAGGCTTCAGCATGGGGAAAAGATATAGGGCAGTTCAGAGGAAGGCGAGATTACTTCCAACTCAGAACCAGGAAGACTTCATTAAGAAGAGTATGCAGGGACAGTCCCCACAACAGGACCTGAGAAGACCTCAGTTCTAGGAGTCATCTGCCATAGCCACCCGTGTAAACCCGAGAAAGTCATTTCTCTCCATTTCCCAACGGGCCCTTTGCCCTAAGTGCCTCATAGCATTATGAGGATTAAATGAGAACTGATTTAAATGAACATTGGATAAATAAAATCACCAACTACAAAGCCCTTTCATCATCCCTGGGGAAGAGGAGGGCAGGAAGTTAAAAGCAGAAAGCTTTTGAAGGAGAAGGGGTGGGGGCGGGTGGCACCTGCCAAACCCAGGGCGTGGGGAAGATCTGAGCTCCTCCTGGGTTAGTAACTGGTTCCAATTATTTTTTCTAACCTCCTACAGCTAATTTTCTTGAAGAGAGCCTGACAAGAGTTAAGTCAGAATATCTACATTCCTCTGCATCGGGAAAATGAAAGTCCCCGGGGGAAGTGGCAGTGAGAGGCAACAGTGCCAAGCACAACTCTTGTGGACAGTCACTGGAGTCTCGTCTGTCCCTGGCCCCAGCACTGGGCTTGCTGGATGCTCAGCAAACAGCCATGACATGAATGGATGTGCTCCTTTACTGCTTCCCAAGGACTTCTACACCCTGGTCCATTCTGATTCTCAACCACAGCCCCAGAGGGATAGACAGGGTGTGGACTGCTATCTCTGTCAAAGATAGGGCAACTGCAGTTCCAGATGGTCAGTGGCCATCCATGTTCAACCTCTCAAGGTCAGAAGGGAGCTCAGAGCCCTGACGCTCATACAGTGGTTCTTTCTCACACTGGGCCAACTCCTAAGAATTATTATATTACCACAGCAATCTTCACCACAATAAACCATCTTTCCTAACTTTACTTAAGGCTTTCTATGTGCCATTGTAAGCTCTTTCCCTGTAACACTACTAAATCAGCCTCTTGCATCATACTGTGATTCCCATATATACCGCTTATTCCAATGCAAAGTGATTTCTGTGAGTCCCAGGATTCTGTTTTTTTTTTTTTTTTATCAAATAAAAACTGATTTGGTTGAACCTTTGGTTTGATTGTTTGGAAGGACCATGGAGAACTGTTCAGACATTAGGAAGACAAGAGAGGATACGTTTTTGTTATTGTCTTATGTTTGTTTTTACCGTGGACGTTCCTTCCTACAAAGTAGGTCTCAGCTGCCGGAGTTGGGGCAGGGGACACACTCAAGGTTAAGGTGGCAAAATTATTTGTGGCACCACTGACCCAGAGGCAGCTAGGTTGCTTTGGCTTCTGAAATCTGCGGGTGTCACAGGAAACCTGCCTTGCTGGTGATGCCCTCCCTCTGCGGCTGCTGCAGGCAGATTGGAGCCTTTCTATGTAGGGAAGAGAGCTCAGGAGTGGGCCTCAGAGGGACAGCTGCACGTTCAAGGTCAGAGCCACCTTCACTACTCATGACCCACCCCCATCCTTTGGCTGTTAACAGATTATGGAGCACTTGCTTCCTAAGGGGTGTTTTCAAGGTACAGGGCTGGGGGTGCAGCTCAGTATTAGGGTGCTCACCCAGCAAATGCAAGGCCCTGGATTCCATCTCCAGGACTGCAAATTTTTCTAAAAATGACAAATTTCAAGGTATAAAGGTTTCAGTAGGAGGCTGGAAACCAGCCTGTTCCTGCATGCTCTGTAGAGAGGTCCCTGGTGATATGCTCATCCCAAGGGGCTCACAGGTGCCCCAGAGTGGCAGGAACATGGGGTGGGGAAACAGATAAAATGTCAGAGAACCAGCAGCACCTGAAGAAAGAGTGGATCAGGGAGGCTCAGAAGGTTTGGGCCATGAGAACAAAGGTCAGTGTGACATGTGTCCCCACCCGTGTGGCCAGGCCAACTCCACTCCCTGCAGCTGGGGACCATTTAGTTATCCAATATGGGGGATATTAATAGAACCATCCTGACCCTCATGGCTTTCCTCTCCCACTGAGGGATGAACTTGGGAGAACTTGGGAGCCCTGGAATTAACTGGCTGATAATGTCTAATGAGCATTAGTTTATCACATTAGTTATTTGGGCCCCTGATCCACAGACGGAGAGAAAGGGACACAGAATCGGTCTGCTCTGATGAGAGAAGTATAAAGCTCATAGGATGGGAAGCCTCAGGGGGTGTCCTGAGCAGACATCAGGGAGATGAAGTGGTTATGGGGACAGCAGAGCTAAGAGGATGCTACAGACAAGTTCACCAACCACACGATTTCAAAGCCATAGAATTTGGAGCTAGAAGAAACTTTAGAATTTGTCTAGTCCCACCTTCTACTTGTATAGCCCAGAGTTACTGGTCATGGCCACGTGGCAGAGTTCAGATGAGGAGCAACCTCTCCACCAACAACTTTTCAGGCCTGGGAATCTTTCTAGAACCTTCCARCCTCCCCTCCATACTGACCACCGTCAAGAATCTAAGGACACCCTATGGAACAATGTGCGCGTTTGAAGGGCCACAGGGAGCAGCCATTCAGCCAGACATACCTTGTGGGAATAATGCTGATCCACGATCCTCGCCAACCCGAAATCCCCTATCTTCAGCACGAGGTCCTCTGTGCTGATGAAGATGTTGGCGGGCTTCAGGTCCCTGTGCAGCACGTTGGCGGAGTGGATGTACTTGAGCCCGCGGAGGAGCTGGTACATGAACAGCTTGGCGTGCTCCTCGGTCAGCGTGCCCTGCTCCAGCAGGCGCGCCAGGTCGGTCTCCATGTACTCCTGGACGATGTAGGCCACGCTGAACTTGAACAGCTCGCCCTGAAGGTCAGTGCCCTTGGGTCCCAACACCTCGTACACCTTCACGATGTTGTCGTGGTCCAGGCGCCGGATGATCTTGATCTCCCGGAGAGCGTGCTTCATGCTGCGGGCATCGCTCAGGGCGATCTTCTTCACAGCCACCTTCCGGCAGGTGTGGCTGTCTGTGGCTGACAGCACGAGCCCGTTGACCCCAAAACCCAGGGGTTGTAAGTCAACAAAGCGCCCGCCCAGGTCATACCCGTAGACGCTGGCAATGCAGTCTCCTCTCTCGGCCATTGTTGGCTCAGTGGTCTGAAGCTGCCCGTGTGAGGAAGGGGCAGTCAGGAAAGGCCAAGTCCCAGCTGGTGGCCTCCCCAGCACCCCTCATTCTGCCAAGTCCCACAGCTGAGGGACGCTTTTGCTCCTGGTGAGGTCACTGCCACCAGCCGTCTGGAGGCAAGTGCCGTGCAGGTCCTTACTCACAGAGATGGACAGCAACGGGCTCAGGCTTCTTTCCTTGCTGGCTCTGGGAGGACTGTTCACCAACAGTTATGCTTCCCAAACCCTCCTTGATGCTTAGAGTGGCTCATGCTTTTTTCAAATCTAGCATCTTAGAAGGAAAATCTGGTTTGATTATCTGGAGGGAGGTGATGTTTTTCTGTCACCATGGATCTCAGTAAAATGTGCAGCAACTCTCCTCTTTGAATCCTTCTCTGTTACGAGCAGCAGTTTCTAGCTGATGTAGGGGAGTCATGAGCTGAGCTGCATTCCTTCACCTGAGGGTCCCAAGCTCAGCCTCCCTCTGTGTTCTGCGAAGTAGGAAGGGATCCCGTCAATGGGTTCTGGAGGCTTCTAGGGGCTTCCTTCTACTTCTGCCAGCTCCCCTTAGTTTCCCAAACCCAAAGTAGCCTGAGGAGTCCTGAGAAAAAAAAAGCTAGAGAAAGCCAAATGCCTCTGGTGAGCTCTATGCCAGTTTATACCGACGTCCCAAGTTCAAGGAGAGCTCAGCTGCCAGGCTGGATCCTCCGAAGACTTGGGTGGGCTGCATCCTCTTTTACTCACTCAGCCATGCCACCTTGACCAAGACGATTGTCCTGCATACAGAGGGGCTGCAGGAACGGGGCATCTTTCAGAGCGAATTGCCTTCCCTGTCAAAGAAACAAGGTTGGGTAAATTTCCACACTCCAGCTTCCAACACCTTCCCACTTGCGTCTTTTGTTAAGCAGCCCAAGTGTTATTTGATCTGTCCAGCCAGCTGAAACACTGCTTGCTCAGGGGATTCTGGCCTTGCACAGCTCAGCCGCTCCTCCTGCTGCGTGTACTGTGCTTCCCGGCAGAGAGGGAAGACRGGCTGATTTGATAAGACCATCAGATGGCATGCCTTTTATGTCAACACCTGCTCCCCCAAGGTTAGCACGCGCAGACCGTGGGCGGCAGTCATCCCTCCYGACCTTTGCGAAATTAATTTGTGACGCTCTCCAAACATATTCCTCAGTGCTAGTTAGGAAGTGGGAGAGTCAAAAGGAACCAGTTGCAGACCGCAAATAAAGGATTGAATCAATAATCTTGTTTTTCTACGTGGGTCCCTTTTCTTCCTTCTTTTGCAAATATCTGAATATTTTTAAGAGCGAATTGGGTGTGGACTGAGATATAATGACATTGGTATTGCTCGCTTTCCATGTAGGTGGCAGAAGCTCACATACCAAATTACAAGGAAACTATACTCCCACCCACAAAAAGGAACTCAGCCCAGAAACTAGGGCACAGATTTCCCTGTGCTGTATCAGGTTGAAACCMTGAGCTACATATTCTTTTAGATGACGGGAACCTAGCTCTTCAGTGATGGGTTAAATCCAAGCTTGACTGCCCCCCTCTGGTGGTCACTGACTCAAATTACAGGCATAGGAACTAAGTAGGGAGAAAAAAAAACAAAAAAACAAAAAGACAAAAAMCCCTGCAAACCTAGCAATGTCAATTCAGGACTCCGAACAAAGGCAACATGGTAGGGTTCCAAGAGAGTGGCAGGTTTTCTAAGTTCATAAAGGCAATGGACACAGAAAGAACACTGTGTCCAGCTCCAAGGACTGAATGTGGCTGGACTGTTTCTTCTTCATTCTCATGGAACTGCAGTCCCTGCTCCCCACCCCCACCACGGGGATACTTCTCCMTCTGAACTCTGGGTAACTCTGCAAATGATAAACGAAGCCAAACAACTGTGAACTCAATTGAGGGGCCAAACTCAGGGACACAGATTACTAGAAATAGTAAATAATCAGAGCCTTCCCCCACCCAGGAGTTCTAAGGAAGGGAATTTGCCAAGAGTCTAGAACTTGGTGAGCCCTCCACAGATGCCACCGGTGATTGCTGTTGTCCAACATTCCCTTACATCTAATGAAGCGTCCTGACTCTTCTGATGCCTCAACTGGTCAGCCACTCTGCTCTGCAGTTTTTGTTGGGCAAAGCAGCAAAATAATCACAGACTTACAGAATTCCAGACTGGGAAGCAATCCTGGTGAACAAGTCCCATGTCCTTAACAGGGAATGGTACTGCCTTCCTTGGCTTATTTGAGTAGGAGTCACTACTGGCTTTCAGTGGGCAATATTTGTTGATCATCCTATTGAGCAACCCCATTAGTGAAAAACTGACATCTCCAAGTGCTAAGAACATCTCTTCCCAGAGACATCAATTCTGGTCCCACTTCTTACTTTGCAGGTGAGGACACTGAGACTCAGTGCGCCTCAGCCTGTGTTTCCAGCATAGAGAGGGCCAATAAACATGTGATTCACAGATTGACGTTCTCTCTTTTGAGGGTACCTAGCCATTGTGGGCTAGGACCRCCCACTGGGCCACAGTCTCCGACAATGCTAGTGAAGTCCTCCTGGCTACTTAACTCAGGGGAACCAGAGAGCCCCCTCCCCATCCCCTGTTCTACCCGTTTGATTCCTGCAACCCAAGCCAGAGAAGTAAGACTCAATTGCAGCTTCTACCATGTGCCTGGTCTGGTTCCCAAGGGCACAGCAAGGAGAGACAATTCCACATTTTGTTTTATGAGGAGAGACGCCTGAGCCCTCTTGCCTCCCGGCTCCCACTGGGTTGTAAACAGAGAAGGGACGGGGAACCCATGACATCACAAGCCAGCTGGAAGGAGGATTTGTTGGAGATTCKCTGCAATGCAGATAATCTGTGAATAATGAAGAGAGGCCCGGTGTATTTTTAAACTCTCCTTTTCCTCCCCTGTGTGGGAGGAACTGTCCTTCTGTGTGTATGTGTCTCTGCATGACCATGAGAATATGCTCTCCCAATATGCTGTCAGCTTGAGTGGGCAGAGAGCATGTCACCCTGGGCTCCATACAGCCCGCCACCCTCCTCCTTAGACTCCTGCCTGGCTTCGCTGCCTGTGCCTTCCCAGCTCCTGAAATGCTCTCCTGCTTCGCCCCCACTTGTTGAAAKCCTACCCATGACTCAGAATCCAAATAAAGTCTCCCTTCCTCTCTGAAGTGTCCATCCCACTTCTCAGTGACATCTCCTCCTTTTCTCAGCCCCGGTGGTGCTCATGTCAATCCCGTATTTGACTTTTACTATATACTAACCTGGGCTGTTATTTAGCTTTTTATACCTGTTCATCTCCCAACTAAACGTTCGGCTTCACAAATCTAGTGCACAGAGTGGTGCACAGAGAACAACTGTGGATTAGAAAGGCCTGCGTACCACGTTTATTGATATCTCTTCTCAAACCTCTTCATTTTCTCTTTCCTTCTCCAATTCTTCCGTAATGCCTACTRTACTGTAAACCCTTTGCCTTGCTCCACAGGAGAGACGATAGACAAAMTATCTTGTCTCTAAGTCCCGTATTAGCGATTCACTTCTGGCATGGTATATACCTAGAGTCAGGGGCCATCAATCCCCACAGGAGCAGGCTTGCATCTGGATGTGCCCCCAGGGCAGGGGAGCCGGGGGCAATGCAGCTGCTCAGAGCAAGACCCAGTCATTCTCCTTTTGGAGGTGGTGGCTCAGAGCTGCCTTGAGTCACAGGTGTGATTTCAAACCCAAGCAGCTGGCATTCACGGTGGAGACAGAAAGGTCACCTGTTCAGCTATGATCGAAAGACACCAAGCAAGAGGAATGCAAGTGTCCCAAGCAAGGAATGCAAGGGATCCCAGGACTCCACGGCAAGCATCTGTATAAAACACAGGAATAGAAATTTCTACCCCCAGACTCCTAACGATGGAGCTTCAGCCCTCAACTGATTTCTCACTGATTTTAGCAACAGCTWATTTGATTAATTATTCTCTCACTCATCCAGCCTTTTAACATGTGGAGGCAAATCAGAGACAAGATGATGTGTGCCAACTGTCCCTTTCTGGAATTCCTGGGGTTCTGGTTTACAAATCAGCTTTGGAAAGTCTAAATTTAGACTCACCTCTCTGCCTGCTCAGATCCTCCCAAAGCTCCTGCTGTCAACTTTCAGCAGGAAATACGGTCCCCTGTGAGGTGCTGACATTTCACAGACTCTGCTTTCTTTCCTCTCCTGAACACCCAAAAACCAGCAGTAAATTCTCAGGCAGGGCTGATGTTTACAGTTGAATGGGCTGTGCACTGCATAATTCTAGGTGGCGCCATTCACATCACAGTTGGGTCTGACTGACTCCAAGGCTCATGATGCAAATCACTGCAGTCGATGTGAATGAAGTCCTCTGGACCAGGGATCGGTAAACTTTTTTATAAAGGGATTTTTTCCCTATAAACTAAATATTTTAATCTTTGTGGGACAGGTAGCCTTTGTTACAACTACTCAAAATTGCCTTTGTAACACAAAAGCAGTCATAGAGAATTCCTAAATTAATAGGCACAGATATGTTTCAATAAAACTTTATTTACAAATATAGGTGGTGGGCCAGATTTGGCATGGGGGCCTAGTTTGTCAATTCCTGCCCTAAGTTCTATGGGAACATCCTCTATTCTACAGGAACGAGGAGGAGCTGATGGCTCATGGGGAGAAAGATCTCCTAYACGTTCACAAATGTGATCACACAATGATTCTTGTCTCGGAATCAGCAGTTCTTCCTTTGTTTTGTGGGTCCATACTGTGCTGTGTTGCCAAAAGTTGAACAGGAGAGGTCTTGACCTACTAAATACCAGTAGCGCTCCCTAGTCCCTGCGTCACGCGTTTTAAAAATCCTAGAGGGCACTGGCGCCTCTCAAACCCATCTCCATAGAAGAATCTAAACCAGTTGAAATAATGCAATTCCCCTTTGGTAGGGACCGGCTCAGGGGTGGCCATGTGATCCAGTTCTTGATAATATGCCTTAAGGGAAAGTCTGTTGGGCAGGAAGGGTTCAGGGAAAACCTTCCTTCTCTGAAGAACAGAAAACCCTCCTTTCTGTCTGTGGATGCAGCTGTAAAGGAAGTGATGTTGGTGCCACAGCAGCCATGTTGAGACCATGTAGGGAAAGGCCTGGGGACCAAAGCCGGGACACCAGAGTTGACAGATGAGCAAGCGACCTGTTGACAACCCTGGGGAGCTGGTCCATGCCTGCAACTACCTACCTCCAGCTTTCTTGCCAAGAGAAATAGTCAGGTCTCTGTGAKTCGGCAGTGAGTGCAAATGCTCAATGAAACTAGTGATGCCACCCACCCTGGGCTGCATTTCCCTGACACCAGTTTCCTTGAGAACATGCCTGCGGGGAAGTCACCAAGAGAGAAACAGGAGGACCCTATTGTCTTTATCTCCCTGGGTGAAGGCTAAAGGAAAGCAGCAGAGAGCAGAAGGAAGATCAGATCCTGGGGGTGGGGTGGGGGGGTTCTTCTTGCGGAAGACTCGACTCTCTCAGGCTTTGTGCTGATTTTTCTTTCCAACATGACGTAACCAGCCAGGGAGAACAAAGACTTCCCAGGGCTCCCAACACWAAAATAGCAG